GTGCGTCTGAAATTACTTGTCTTAAGTTCTCCTTTGGATCCTCAGCCAACCCCCGGATCCGAATTGCAAACTCCATGTCACGAAATTGAGCAATCAACACATCAGCCTTAACATTTTCCAGACTCTCCTCTACAAGTTCAAGTCTATGATCACTTACTTCTGCTCTCTGTTCGTTCTCCTCCACCCTTTCTGCCACCGCGTCCACATATTCAGCCAGACCTTGAAAAGCGGTTGTCACATTCATACAAAAGCCCTCATGTTTCTGCGATAAATCTTGTTGTTGTTGTATTACTTCATCGAATCTATTTTGCATTTTAGCATCCATCTCTTGAAACATCTCAGTCATTTGTTTGATAGTTACAGACATCAAATCCTGCAACTCTCTACCAGAGGGCGGTGGAGGTGAAGAAGATGGCGGGGTGGCAGATGAGAGATTTTAGAAGTTGGTTGGGGTGGCTGTGACATCGGAGATGTAGTTGATTTTAAAGTTGAAGGCACGGTTTTTCTCGAAGCCATGTTAGCAGTAAATTTCCAGTTGTAAAAAGGTCTTTTAAACAGTTCAGCCAAAACAGATAATAAGCGTATTAAAAGTAACAAAAGTTCCAGACCCGAAATCACTTTCACTTCTTGCTGAAAAGTATCAATCCATCGCCATTTTAAATTCACTTTCACTCAATCCACCTCAAGTATAGGGAAGAACTTATTAACCAAGTTAGAGCAAAATCCAAGATAAAAAGCAAACTTCCAGGGTCGGTTCGTCTGCTTACAAGAAACTCACAGTTCAATTTAAGTTGCAGCAGTGACGGCGGCTTCTAGCTTCGCCGAAGCGAAGGCGTCCTGGATCGCGGAGTAAACCTCGGGGCTCCGGAGGAGTTCTAACCTACATCGTCCACAAGGGACGACTCGGGAACTCAACTCCTACCCCGGGCAGCTCACCTATCCCCCTATGCCCAGGGGAAGGGTATCAAGCCGTTTGACAGCTGATGCTGGCTGTCAAAACGGCTTTTACGCTGAAACAGGCGGGAGGCAGCAAACAGCTGCGTCCGACGAAGTCGCCTGCCACCGGAAGTCCCATTTGCTGAGTTTTACTTCCATAACGTACGTATTTCCAACTGGGATGACTTCATTGTGTATTGCATTTCACTCTGTTATATAATAGGTATTTCTTATTTGTAGTTGAAGAGTTAAATATATTCTGATCAGGGGATCCATGGTCTACTCTATACTAAGGAAGTGTGCCATTTGTCTTGGAGGAAAACATAAGTGGAGTTTTGGGATCAGTTCTTTCAGTGGAATTTTGAGAGCTACATTATGGGCACTATTATATTTTATGACTGTGGCCCATCATAAAATACCCATTTATTAGATGGCAAAATGATGAGACTGTTCCTCACCATACCTGCTTAAATTCCCAGGATATTCTCTGTCCTCACCACACCTGCCTAAATTCCCTGGATATTCTCTACTTATCCAAACAAGGATTGGATTGTTACCGTCCAATATCTTGTTTTCTCAGAATACCTTTGAAGTCTCCTTGGATCACAAAAACATCCTTAGAAATAAAAACGAGTATTGAAGCTGATGCTTTATAGTGTGTGTTAGCTTTCTGTTAACTTTTAAAATCAAAACAATACTTTATTATTTTTATAGAGAATATTTACATCAGCAAAAGACGAATGTAAAGTAAAAAGAAAGGAAAAGAAAAAGTACAAAGAGCTAAACAGAAAGAAAATGTAAAGAAATAATCAGAAAAAAAGTGTCTTTCGGCCTTCTTTCCAACATTATTCCTCCTCCCTCTTTGATATCCCTTCGGTCCTCTCTTAATCTTTTTTCAGTCATCCTACCCATAAATCACTACTTTGCTCTTTTCTATTTTCAACAGAAAGTCCCCAAAAGTTTTCCAGTCTTTTATAAAAATAATTGTTTTAATCAAATGGGTCAGTTTCTGACAATTCTGCCATCTTCTCAATCTATTCCAATCTATTGTGGGTATTTTGGTGTTTCTCCATTATAGGTGATATAGTAATCTTGCTGCAGTTTTCATATATAAAATCACCCATTAGTCTTTTCTAGTTGTCTTACCAGTAAATCCCAGTAAAAAGAGATCTGGTTTTTTTAGTATTAATCTTTAAAATTCTTTCTATCATTGCATGTATTTGTAACCAAAATTTTCTAGATTTTTCACAAGTTCAGAAGGCATAGTAAAATGTCCCTTCATATTTTTCACATCCCCAATATTGATTTGAAGTGCCTTCATGCTCCTTTGATAATTATCTATATCCCTCTGTAGTCAATTGTTGTTTTGACTTTTATCTTGAATTCTCCATGTTCCTATATTAATAGATTTTGATACTTAATTATTTTTCTTTGCCTTTTGTTTTGTTTCTTTAAAATGTTTCCTGTGCTGAGACCAATAAAGATATTTTCAGGCACAACCTGGGCTTGTATTTATTCCATATTTTCACATAATGATTTTTAAAATCTACATTTACTTTAACTTAAAGTAAAAGTTTAACATAAAAAGCCATACCAATCAGACCTCTGATTATGTTACTCTAATTCTAACATTCTCTTATTTTTCAATAACACCCACTTTTTCATCGAAACCAAACAGCAGGCTGCAAAATACAATTTAAAATCAATAATCTTAATCCTCCTCTTTCCTTTGGATCTTGAATAATTTTATATTCAGCTCTTGGTTTTTTTTTATTATGCCATGTAAGTCTTGGTTTTTTTATTATGCCATGTAAGTCTAGATACATCTTTTTTATCATCGCTTAAGAGGCAAATCATTTTTCAAAATAGATATTGTTTGAAATAAAAGCATCATTCTAAAGTACATTCATCTTTACCTCAAAACCTTTATTAAGGTTTGCGCATGCCTGATTATTAAGGTCTGCGCATGCCTGAAGATGGCGGATGCCCATTCGTAGCTCTGTAGTAGCGGAGACCGAGGGTGGGCAGAGGGGAGCCTTGGAGACCTCCGAAGGTCTGGTGACCCGTCTGGAGACCCGTCCCCAGGTTGACTTCTCCCCGGTGAGTTCCCCGGGAATGCGAGGGGACGTGGGAACGTGGAGCCGACCGGGTAGCTGTTTGTCGGCCTGCTCGGCCTTTCCGTCCCTCGGCGGCCTCGCGGGCAGTTTCTCCAGCGACCGGCGGCCTCGCGGGCGGTTTCTCCAGCGACCGGCGGTCTCTCCAATGGCTGGCGGCTTCTCTTGGCCTCGGAGACATTTTTGACGACCTCGGCGGTCTTCCTGCGGCCCTCCCGGACCTGATGGCCTCTCCGGTGGCCTCGGCGGCCTCTTTAAGAACTGTGCCAACGGCCCCGATGGCCCTTCCAATGGCCCCAACGGCCCCTTCGGCAATCCATTTTGGCCTCGGTGGCCTTCGGACGGCTTCTTCAGCAGCCCCGGTGGCCCCGATGGCCCCTCCAGTGGCCCTTTGGTGGTCTTTGGGCCTCGGTGGCCGTTCTGGCGGCCGCGATGGCCTCGACGACCTGCTTAGCGGCCTCTTTGAGGGCCCTTTCGGCTGTCTCGGTTCCGGCGGCGTTGGTGGCTCCTTCGGCGGCCTTTCGGCGGCTTTGGAGCTTTTCCGGCGGCTCTGGCGACCTCAGCGGCCTTTTCAACGGCCTCGGCCAGGTGAGGATTTGGGGCCTGGTTTTGGACTTGGCCCGCCCCGGCCTAGAGGACCTGGTTCTGGAGGACTTAAGGACTACCTCTCGAGGTCAGACTCTTTGATTCCCTGGCTCTGGTTAGAAGACCTGAGAACCACCAAATAACACCTTCCCCTCTGTGCCACGGACTCCCTTCGCCGGACCCATGTATTCCAGGATGGTCCTGCTGGCCCTGCGCGACTCACCCCTCGCGCAGGCCTGGCCCAGCAACATTGCTAGGGCCTACCTCGAGGATGGGGTGTGGAACCCCGAGAGGTGGCATGCAGTGGTCACTAACAAAAAATTGTTTAAATTATTTAATCTGAGAACGTTTTTACAGGGGTGTTTTAATAAATTTTTAGGGGGAACCAGGGTGGGGGGGAGG